AGAAATTATTTGATGAGTTAATGAATGTCACAAATACTTATTCAGTGTTGACCACCTAATGACCTCAATAAAAATATTGCCTTATTTCACACTGGATTTTCTTTTTTAATCTAAGAAAAACCAAAGATGAGAATCAATTCTAAAGGTATGAATGAAAGATCATTATATGTATTATATTTTAAAGAAAATATGTGTTTATAGTTTATTACTCTGAGGAAACTTCTGTTCTTGTGCTCACTTTGGTAAAAGCATTTGACTTGCCTGGCCCAGATTTTAATTATAAACTTCCAGATGACTCATTCTTTCTTTGGGAACATTTATTTTACCTGTTTCCACAACTTCCTTTGGGGGAGGTTAATATAAATTCTGATAATACCAAGAAGGGAAGAACTTGAGTTTTGCTTTTTTTTATTACAAATTTAAATGCATTCTTTTGATCTTTTGCTGATTTCCTTTTTTTGAATCCTGTTAATTGTGGCTTTTTAAATTTGATGTCTGCTCTTAATCTATAATTCAGAGTATTAATATCACAGTTCTTTTCCTCAATGGCATAAAGCATTTTGTAATGTAAACCCCTGACTATTGTTATAATAAAGTTCATGAGCATTCCAGCCTAATATTTTCAAAGTAATCTTTTAAGCAACTATAGACTCTGAAGTAAGAAGTGAAACTTATTGATTTATATTTATTTAAACAGAATTACTTGATGAAATGTACAGTAAGTTAATCTGAGATTTATTTTATTTTTTGTTAATTTATGAAGTCAGTTCTACTTTACAGTTTAAATACTAAATAATCTATCTCATGAGTACTCAAAATCAGAGAACATTACAAAAATAAAATAAAAAAATATCCAGAAGAACAATTGGTGAGATTTTTAGGCCTGGTGGTTGAGACTAAGTAATATCTTTGGGGCGTATGTGTGTGTGATGGGTGGGAAGGGTGGGGTTAAAATGACTTGGTCCAAAATCATGACATAGCTTCTCCTCTGTTTCTTTCCTTTTCCCTTAAAGACGGAACACTTTCTCTGGTACAGGACATTTTATTGCATTTTACAAGATTGCATACAAGGGGGTCACAATATTAAACAGAATGTTGTCCACAAACAATATTTTCTACTCCTTTTTATGCCCGAGAGTGTGCTAACTTATGTGACAAATACTTTGAAGAGGACATTAATGACTTGACTATAAGCCCACAGCCATCACAAGGATCCTAATTAGAAGGATGCAGGAGAATTCTGTGTCAGGAGAGAAGCTGACACAATGACAGAGGCAGAGACCAGGTGAGATCGCCAGGTGTCAATGATTGCTGGTAACCTGAACACTGGAAAAGTTGGGAAACAGGATCTCGTCTGAAATTCCACACGTAACCTGTAGTACAGAGAGCCATGTTTCAGTGCCATAAAATTCATTTTAGACCTTAGTGGAAAAAAAATTCTGTAATTCTGTGATATCAGCAAGATGTCAGAATAGAAAGTTCCATGGCTTGTCTGTTGAGAAACACCATGAAAGCAACAGTATTTTGGCTAAAACACCTTTAAGAGAACTTCAAAATCCATTCAAAATTTCAACAACTCAGATGAGAGCAAAATCAGGAAAAGACACTTTGAAATAGTTAAAAAAAAGAACAGTTTTGCTTAAACTCATGTCAGCCTCTTCCCAAAGGCTGCACAACTCATTGTAGAGAGAGTTAACCTGTTCGTGACTTAATCTTCAAATTAGATGAAAGGTGATACCTGCGTCTGATATTCTCAGCTCAGAAAACTGTTTTGGTTTCATCACACTCAGAATTCTTGGGCATCTAGGAACAGAGCAAAGGGATGGAGGCCCTCAGCTTCCTGCCTGCAGCGCACAGCGAGAGAAGAATGTGGTCCTGAGGCTGCTCCTTTGGGAGGATGAGAGAGAAGTGGAACTTGCATCAAAGACCTCTGGGTCTTTGAGCACATGCCCCTAGAGAAAGGGGACAGTTAGTTCTTACTAGCTTGGATGACTCTTTTGTGGAATTGAGAGACGGTTTGTGGACCCAAGATTCTTCTTTGAGGAAGATGTAAAAGAATCGGAGCCGACACTGATCATCAGGGTATTTAGTGCACAGTCCTGCGGAAATGGGTGAATGACTCAGCAGTGGAGCTTCTCTGAGGGATAGTGAATAGCACACAACCCAGAAACTTCACCAGGAGGGAGTGAGAGAATTAAAGCTTGTGTTGTCCTAAAGGAAAGGGACCCGGATTTACACATGAGGCTCTATGAAATTGAGAGAAGGCCAAGAGGAGAGGAATGTGCAAAAATGCCCAAGCTCATGTATCAGTGCAACACTTTTATTTACCTCTTTTCCTTAGATGTAAGGGGAGGAGCAACCTCCAGGGTCTGTGAGATTGGGGAAGCTGTACAGAGCTGAAGCCTCTCACCCAGAGGGAGCAGAGGAGTAGACGGAGATATTCCCAGACACCAATCCAGGGATCCCAGAACGTACGGTCTGACTTACAAAGGAAGGTCTTTAACTGCTAAATTACATTTGCTCAGACTATAACAGACAGTTGCTTCTAAAATGGGAATCTTTAGGCACCACATGGTAGGGCATTTGCCTTGCAAGGGTTTGACTCAGGTTCAATCTTGGCACCCCGTATGGTCCCTCGGGCACCACCAAGAATGATCCTTGAGTACAGAGCCAGGAGTAAGCCCTGAGCATGGAATCAAAAAAAAAAAACCCCAAAACTCAAATTCAGCACAAATAACAATAGGTATACATTAAAGCAGACTTACAAGGAACATGAAAAATGAGGAGAATATCATAATAGGAAAAATATTATTTGCCTATAATTCATTCTAAGGAGATAGAGATCTAAAAATATTTTAGAAAATAAAAATAATTGTTCTAAAGGTCTCTTTGAAATGCTATTATTTTATAACATGCATATTTCAGATGTACATAATTATAAATCAACAACTGTATATGCCACATTATGTTCACTACTAAAAAATGAATTCTATTCTTGTTCTAAAGAAGTTCAGCGATTACAAAAGACACAAACAACTAAAATCAAGGCTATTTGAGAAAAATGAAAATGCATCACAGAAAATGTTGGAGTTAGTAAGCAAATTATTTAATATTGTAGGGTACAAATGATCACTATACAAAATATAATGTACCAACAAAGATAAAAACCACTATAAAGCACCAAACAGCTAAACTGAAAAAAATGAGAACATGTCAACAATGTCAACAATATACTTCTTCAAGCAGAAGAAAGAAACAAAGAATTATAAATAGGTTATTTGAAATGATCAAATCAGAAGAAGAAAACAAAATAATTTAAAGGAATAAAACTTTACATGTGCCAGGGATGTGATTCATTGTTAGTGGGAGGTATGTGCCTTTCATATGTGAGATCCTGTGTCTGATCCTTGACACCACCACCACCAACACTATCACCACACGTGCGTGCATGCACACACACACACACACACACACACGCACGCACACAAAGGAAGTATTGACATCTGACAAATAGAAAGTTCCATGTCTTATCTCCTGAGGAGAAACACCATGGAAGCAACAGTATTTTGGCTAAAACACCTTTAAGAGAACTTTTTTCCCCTATGATCAGAAATAAGCTAAGTATGCACACTCTTGTCATTTCCATTGTATACTTCTGTTCAGTATACAAATAGAAGTTCTAGTCAGAGCAATCAGGCAAATAAAAGAAATAAAACTATCCAAAGTAGGAAATAAGAAGTACAATTATGTCTTATTTTGATAATTTGATCCTTCATCTAAAAAACTTGTTAAATGCATCACAGAAAATGTTGAAGTTAATAAGCAAATTATTTAATATTGTAGGATACAAATAATCACTATACAAAAGAATCCATTCCATTTTCCTACATAAAATATCACTACAAAATAAAATTAAGAAAACATTCTATTTCCATGAGTTTCAGAAATAACATAGCACTTATGAATAAACTTAGCAAAGGAAGTGAAAGATTTGGACACTGAAAATTGCAAAAGATTAATAAAATGAAGAACCAAGCATGTTAATGAAAAGACATCATATGTTTGTGGATTGGTTAACTTAAGGTTTTAAAATCACCATACTACCACAAATAATCTACAGATTCAGTAATATTGCCATCACATTCTAGATGACATTTTTATTACAGAAATAGATAAAAAAATCCTAAAATTCATAGGCAACTGCACAATAAAAAAATAATTGCCAAAATAATCTGAAGAAATAAGAAAGCTATAAATATCCTAGTCACTCATTTTAACTTCATTATAAAACTACAATAATTAAAACAGTATGGTACTAGCATACAGACATCAAGGAATATAGTAGAAAACCCAGAAATCAGTTCTTGCACAAATGGTCAATAGATCTTTGACAAGGTTGTGAAGAATTCATAATGGGGAAGTTAGTTTCTTTAATGGTGTTAGATATCCTCATAAAAATAGAATCGTTATCATACACCATACATAAAACAATTTAAAAAAGACTAAAGTCTTAGAAAACCTAAAATGATAAACGGAGGGAAAATTTTTGACTTTGGTCAAAGTTTAGCAATGAATTCTTAACTATGAAACCAGGACATAATAACAAATACAGATTGAGGCAAAAGGGATTACATACATCTGAAATGCTTGCATCAGAGAAAGAAAGAAACTGAGTGAAAAGGCAGTCTACAGGATGGAAGAAAATATTTACAAATTATAAAATATACATGCATATTTGATAATTTATTAATTTTCAAAATATAAGAGGAACTCCTAAAATTCATTATAAATAAACTAAATAACTGTCACTATCACTGTTACTGTCCTCCCGTTGTTCATTGATTTGCTCGAGTGGGCCTAGTAACATTGTGAGACTTGTTACTGTGTTTGGCATATCGAATATGTCATGGGTAGCTTGCCAGGCTTTTGCCCTGCGGGTGAGATACTCTCGGTAGCTTGCCATGTCCTCTGAGAGGGGCGGAGGAATCAAACTCGGGTCGGCCATGTTGGCAGCACATATACTAAAATTGGAACAATACAGAGAAGATTAGCATGGCCCCTGTGCAAGGATGATACGCAAACTAAATAACATGATTACAAAACTGAAAGTGGAGTTGAGCAGACATTTTTCCAAATAAATCATACAAATGGAAAATACGTAATTTGGCAGGGGGATGTGGGTTACAGCCAACAATGCTCAGAGCTTACACCAGGACTTAGGGAAACATATTAGTATTGAAAATCAAATCCAGGTCAGCTGCATTCATGGCAAGTGCCTTACCTGCTGTACCATCTTTATGGCCCATGGGCAACAGGTAATTTAAAAGATGTTTAGTATCACTGGTTATCAGGGAAAAAAACAAGTGAAAATTACTGGGCCAGAGAGATAGTACAATAGGTAGGGCATTTGCCTTGTAAAAGACGGATCCAGGTTCAATATATGATCCTCTTGAACTGCATCAGGAGACCCTCCTGAGTGTAGACCAAGCCAGGAGAAAGTTATTATCACCTCCAGATGTATGCCCCCCACTCCCCAAGATAATTAACAAAAAAGACAGTGAGATACCTATTGGTGGTTCTTATCACAAGGAAACCAGATAAGTGCTTATGAGATAATTCAAGTGGTAGAACACATGCCTAGTACCCATAGGACCTTACAGTGTTTTCAGAGCCACACAGTTCCATTGAAAACTGAGCTGTGGTGCTGGGAGCTTCTTTATACCTCTGTGTCCAGGTAGCACTGACTGCAATAGTAGACTAGAGCGCTGAATTGTCAGAACTGCTCACGTGGGCTGAGCATTGCTTAAGATCCTGAATGCGTCTTCCCTCCCTCTCCCAGCTGCACTGAGGGAGGACTCTATTTAAAAATACACCTAAATAGAGTTGGTGAGACTGTGGAGAAATTTGAACCCTTGTATCTGTTGGATCCCATGCATTCTTTCACATGGGAATGTAAAATAGAACAACTGTATGAAAAACAGTATGGAGACTCCTAAAAATATTTAGTTCATGATTCCACAATCCCACTTCTGGTATATATCCGAAACCATTGACATTGGGATCTTGAGGAAATACCTTTACTTCCCTGATCACTAGACATTATTCACAGTATCCAGAGTATGGAAATAATGCTTGAAAGACCAATGCATTGAAAAATATATTTAGCCATCAGTCCTCTGAGAAAGGGTTAACATACAAGATATATAAAGCACTGGTAGAGCTTTTCAAGAAAAAGACAACCATCCCCGTCAAGATATGAGGGAGAGAAATGAACAGAAAATTCCTCAAAGACATACAGATGGTTGAAAAGTGTGCGAGGAAAGACTCGGTGTCACTTATTATAAGTAAAAGGCAAATTACAACAATGATGAGGTATTATATTAGTGAGATTGGTACATACCACAAAGACCAGAAACAACCAGTGTTGGAACGATGTGATAAAGAAGGGGCTCTCATTCACTGCTCGTAGGAATGTCGACTGGTTCAGCCTTTTTGGAAAACAATATGGACATTACTCAAGAATTAGGGATTAGTCTTTCATGTGTTCCATCAATTCCACTTTTAGGTATTTACCCTAAGAGCTTAAAAATTCTTTTCAGAAAAGACATTTGCAATTTTATTATATTTGCGGCACTATTCACAATTGCCCAAATCTGGAAACAACCCAGGTTTCCAAGAACAGGTGACTGGATAAAGAAACTGTGGCACATATATGCAACGAAATACTACTTCTACACTAGAAAAGACACAAATAATGTAATTTGCTGCTATGTGGGTGGATCTGGAGGGTATCATGCTTAGTAGCTAGCCAGAAGGAGAGGGGCAAATACAGAATGATCTTTCCTATACCTGAGATATAAATAGACATGGAAAGAAAATGACAATTCCTTAAAGGAAACAGAAGCTGAGAACTGGTCTTTAGTAGGAAGTCTATCATTGCAGGAGACATGAGAGTGACAGTATGGGGGACGCTACACTGGAACAATGATGGAAAGGAGACTTTCCATGAAGGTGTGCTGCTAGGATATTTTATGCATAAAACCCTACAATTATCAGCATTGTAACTCTTGGTACTAAAATAAAATTTAAAAACATTTAAAAATAATGGCATATGACTATGATAATACATTGTTCAGTCTTTAAAAAGAAGGCAGTTCTCATATTTGTGTCAATATGGAAGAACCTTGAGGACACTATGCAAATGACAAAGCTAGTTTATAGAGTGACAGTTACTTCATGATTCCACCGATATGAAATATCTAAAAAAAGATATGAAAGTAGTAAGAATCATAGAAGTAGGTAACATAATGGTATTTACTAGGGACTTGGAGTGAAATAAATGGTTTTCCTAATCGGCAGGATGTTTTAGAAATATTAGATCTATTATAAAACATGATAGCTATAGTTAACAATATTGTGTTGTGTGCTAAAAAGTGTAAGAGAAAAGAACTAATAATTCTTTTTGTTTTTTGTTTGTTTGTTTCTGCACTTGGCTTACTCTTGGCTCTGCACTCAAGAGTCACTTCTGGTGGTATTCAGGGATGCCGGGGATTGAACTAGGTCAATCTCTCCACTGTACCATCTTACCCACTGTACTATCTCTCTGGCCTCCAGAACTAAGAATAATTAACACACACAACCCAAAGGGAAATTGGGATGTTTTGTATATGGCTGTTATCTAGATTGTGGTCATGTATCACGGCTGTTTGTATATGTCCAACACATTGATTTGTATATCTGAAAGATGTGCAGTTATTTTTGTTAATTATACAAAAAACCTTGTTAAGTATACACAATCTTAATTTGGTGATTTTGCCAAATCAAGATGCTTAAAAATAAATTTTGTCCAAAACAATGAAACTCTATATTGTGGAAATGTATTTGCATTCATGTATGTATTTCAATTAAGGTAGAGGTAATGTTCCTTTAAATTTAATGCTGACCACAGTGCTTTGTAATTTTCCTCTCAAAACCTGGATTTTCCCAGCATGACACCCAGTTCTGGCATTAGTAACAGCCTCTTCAAAACACTTATGCCAAGGAGTTAACAGGAAATATCTTGGCAAATTCAGAGTCAAAAGGAAAGCACAGAAATGTCAGAACACATATCGTGTTTCTCAGAATTATCTGTACCATGTTGGAAGTTTTTATACGGAAGTGTGTGTTGACACAAATGATTAAGGCCAGGATTCCTACAATTGACAGGAAAATGACCTATAAATAATGACCTGTGATGGACTTGTCATACAGTCATTAAGTGAAATATTCTAGTACCAGCTTCCTCCTTTTGGTATCCCAGTTTCCGGCTTCTGTGAAGTACTTTTCCTTTGCAAAGATCACTCATTTTATCTGAGACCATCAAGTTTTCTTTGAGCTTTATCAAATGATACTTTCTCTTGGTAGATAACAATATCAAATAGACTTTCACAAGCCATTTTGGAACACATTTTGCTTTCATAGAAATAGTCTCTCAAGAGTTTCTTATTTCTATTTCTATATAAGGGAAAATGCTTTAAATGCGAAAAGCTTAGAATGTCATAAGATAAAAGGTAATTTTATAAGTCATTAAACAACTAGTTATTTTGTATTATACCAAATTAACTTTTTCCCCCTATTAGTGAATGAAGTTCAGGGTAACTCCTTGGGAGTAAATGTGTAAAACAGTTAAATATTGAGATTCCATTATGTTACTATGCATATATCTATATACATAATGTCTATAATGGACACTGTCAGGTAAAATGATCTTATTAACCAAACAGTAGATCATAGTTTTCTTCAAAGACTCCAACTCCCAAGATTGCAGACAAGCATCAGTCCTGGCAGCTGTGAGTGAATATAGTTTTCTTTCTGGTCACAAAGATTTTCTTCTCTGATCTTTTCTCCTTTTTAATTCAAAGAGTGCTTTGTGAACTATTGTCTGCTGTTCTTCCTTCTTCTTATCCATTATGTTGTTAGAAGAAGGATTACATTGGAAAAGGAATATGTGCTAAACGCTATCTTTTAAACCCATGGAAAGATCCATGTATTTATAACTCAGAAGGAAAGAAAACTGCACAATTTGAAATGAGGTCAGAGTGACCATAGTGGATTAAACTAACATCGATATACTAAATTGTAACATTGAATTAAGTCTAAGAAATGCTTAGAGGCAATAAAGTGTGAGGGTCCTATCATCAACTAATCAGTATCTTGTAAATTCTTTATTCGGTGATTTACTGTATTCAATCTAATGCTAATAATAAGATAACTTTCTTTTTAAGGCAAAAAGTGAGCACTTCCTTACGGAAATGATATCATACTAAATAATATCAAAGAAAGAACATGACGGCTTGACAACAGTGTTTTTGTGCTTCAGGGATAAAAAGCATCTTTGAGTCAGTTTATTTGTTTTCTTTAAATCATAAGAGCCCTTTTAATTGATTTATAGTGCACTTGCTTTTTTAAATTAATTGAGGTTCTGTGATCTGCAATACTGCTAACAATGGTTCTTATATACATAATTCTAACACCTAAGGCATCAGCAGTGTGCCTGCCTCCTGCCCTCCATGGATTCCAATGTCCCTCCCTTTCAACTTTCCCACCATCCAGAAGCTCATTTTTGTGAATCAGTTTTCACCTTGTGTTGCCTTTGTCCCTTTGCTCTGTATCTTTTAAGCCCCACGTAGGAGAGAGACCATTCTATATCTGGCCCTTTTTTTCCTGGACGGACTTCACTCAGCATGATACCCTATCATTCCATCCATGTTGCAGCAAATGGCATAATTTTGTTCTTTCATAGAGATGCATAGCATTGCGTTGTGTGTGTATATGCCACAGCTTCTGATCCATTCACCTGTACCTGGGCACTTGGGTTATTTTGTACCTTGGAATTTGACTACACATTGTGATAAACATATGTGTGCAGATACCCTTTAAGAAAAGTCATTTCCCCTTCCATTTTGTTTGCGATGACTGAGGGCTTGGTTGCACACATGGTTTGGGGGCTTGGGATCGAGATCTCAACATGGCTTGGGTCACACTCAGCATGTGGACTGGGATGGGGGGTTGAATAAGCAGCTCCATGCCCGAGAGGCAGATGTTCTAGCACTGTGCCACACTCTT